AATAAAAAAAAAAATTTTGAATTTACTTACTTGTAGCCGGAGTTAGAGGCGGTCAGATACTTATGACCGCTACTGTATGGGTGGTATTATTGATATTGAAATCAAAAAAGAGACAATTACATTTATGATTGATGGAAAACCATCAAGTAGATGTCAGTTTCCCTTGCAAAATGCATTTGCTCTTACAGTACATAAACACAAGGATTAACTTTACCCGAAGTATCTTTATTTCTTGATCATCAAATTTTCTTTTCTGGTCAAGCATATGTTGCATTAAGCCAATGCTCTAATTGGTCAAAAGTGCATATTGCTTTATTACATCCTTCTGCCATTTTTACAGATGAATCAATGCTTAAAGAATATGATCGATTAGAACAAAAGGCCGCTATTCCTTTACCATTATAAAATTAAAATTATTTTGACTTCTTTTTTATCAAAAATAATTAAACATTTTGTTAAAAAATTGTTAAATATACATATACAATAAATTTTAAGTATAATTAAATTGGTTATGCGTTTAATCATTTAATGCTAAATGGGAGACGAAATTCCCTGCAAACTGCAAACTCTAGTTTATATTAGAAAATTAAAAAATGAAACTGGTAGTTTTGTAGATCGTCCCAAATCTGGACGCCCAAGAATTTTAACTAAAAGAGATGAACGAAAAATTGTTTGTCTCATTTCTACACATGAATGTTCAACAGCGGTTGATATTCAAAAAAAATATTAAAACATATGATAATATCAATGTTAGTACTGATACTATTCGCAGATCACTTCAACGAAATGGATTACAGGCCCGAGTTAAAAGAAAAAAACCTTATCTGAAAAAAGAACACCAAATACGTCGACTTGCCTTCGCTCGAAATATCAAAATTGGACTATTGAAGATTGGAAGCATGTAATCTGGTCTGATGAGAGCAAGTTTCAAATTTTTAGATCTGATGGGCGTAAGTATTGTTGGAAGAAACCGGGAGAACAACTTAAAAGGCACCACATACAGCCAACAGTAAAATTTGGTGGTTGTTATGGTATGGGCAGTGATGTAAATTTTTGATGTCTCAGAGATTTGTTGTCCCAGCTATATGTCCCAACCTGTCCTACACTATGTCCCAAAGGTCCCATCTGTCCCATCTATGTCCCATCAGCGTCCCATCAGCGTCCCATCAATGTCCCATGACAACACTGGGTATGGGGTTGCTTTACAGAACACGGTATTGGCAATCTCTATCATATTGAAGGAAAATTAAATAGTGAAGGATATAGAAAAATTCTTGCAAATGACTTAATTGGGACCTTAAACAGGTTCAATTTAAATATAAATAATATTGTCTTTCAACAAGACAATGATCCTAAACATACCGTAAATCTTACCAAAAAATGGTTTGAAGATAGCCATATTACACTTCTTGACTTTCCACCTCAATCTCCAGACCTAAATCACATTGAGCACTTATGGGATGAAGTAGACCGACGTCTTCATAATCTTTCTGGTCAAATTCATAATAAAAAAGACCTATGAGAAAAAATTCAAGTTTGGAACGATATTGATATTGACACACGTCTTAAACTTATTGAATCTATGCCAAATCGGTTGGCTGATGTTACAAAAGCTAGAAGTGGTTATACAAGGTAGTATTACTAAATCGGTATATTATATGTATGAATATACATATATACATTAAAAAACATTTTAAAATATATTTGTTCGTATGATACAATTATTAATAATCGAAATAAAAATTATAATTTTTAAAAAAAAATTTGGGTGGTACGTATATAGGAAGTTACACATTTTGCATAGTGATGCCAACATGCCGACAGCCCGACAACCCGACAAATGCCGACAAAAAAAAAATTGAAATTTAGTAAACATCTAGGAAATTTAAGGATCGGATTGTGTGCCTGCGCTGTCGGAATGTCCGGTGCTCCTTGTAAAAGAACCAAGGATAAAATTTCATATTCAATATAAACAGATAGCTTAAACTGTATAACAATTGTAATCATGTCGTATTAATTAGGATTTTTTTTTTAATTTCATTACTTTCATCTATTTAGGCCATGTTTGCTTCGTTACTCCTCCATCCACAAAGAAAAGAAAATTTAAATACTGAAATGTGAATATCAATAATGCTTTGAGATAAGTTTTTTTATTTAGTTAATCAATAAAGTTCTGTAAGTTTACGATTCTTTGTTAATCTTTATTATTGAGAATCGAATAAAGAAAACGAAAAAATTGAAGAAATTAAATATTTCTAAGATTATTATGTACGTTCATGGAAATAGTTAAATCAGATTATCAAATGTTGGCCAAACGTTACAACGCGGAATTCAAAACCTATTTCCCGAGATTCAATCAAAATACATAAAAACAAAAAGATGAGCCAAACGTTTAAAGGAAATAGGAATTTTGATCCTCAAGCCATTCTGTTGAACATCAAGAATCAACGTTATAGCCAAAACCGCTGCTAAAAAAGTTCACCAAGCCAGCAAACTGTTTCTTTGCTCTTGAAAAACTTAGGCAGTTAGAGTCAATATCATTCATTTAATAATTTCTCACGATTGTAGAAATAATATTAATATTTTACAAGAAATTTCCACTAATTATTTTTTACAATCTCAACGAAAAAGAGATTTATTTTTTTTAAGAAAAATAAATAAAAATTAGTATTCAATTTTTATTTTGACAAAATTATTAGCATGTCTAAAAACTTTAGGAAAGTTCATGAAGAAACAATGTCGAAATTAAATAATAAATAAATTTGTACAATTTATATTTTAGAAAATGAAATAACTCGCTAAACTTATAAAATGACAATTTATAAAAGTATTCTATATGAATTCTAAAAGGTCATTTTATTATAAATATTGTTATTTTTGTATTACCTGGAATATTTCATAATCCACAATACTTTTTACACTAAGATCTAAAATTTTGTTTGCTTCGGGATACGTATTGGCAATAAAATTATTCCTATTTATATTATTTCCTTGAATAAATAAATCACATCCACCACCAAAAGCCGGTCCTATATTTGAAGCTGACGGATAATACACAGCATACCTTTGATCTTTTACTCTCGAAATATATATTGAATCAAGATCATCCATTTTTGCAAAAGAAAACAAAAAACTATCGGAGGTTGAGCCCCAATGACCTTCCGATTCAAAAGGTTTCCAACTTAATGGATTATAACCACCAATTAATTTACCATTCTCTTGCAATTTTGAAATCATTATAGTTGGACCTTTGTTACCACATAGTTCATGAAATGTCTTTACTTCAAACCCATCTCTACTAGCACGAAAAAGAAGCTTAAATGAATAAGGGATATTTCTAGAACCATAAAAGAATTTGTCTTTTTTATCAATCAAACTTGCAAGAATTAGGAAATGATTTTTGTTGATAAGAACAGAATTAAAAGATAGGTCATTTCTTTGAGGTAAAACTAATGTATCTGGTGGTGTGTCTGGATCGAAATGGTATCCAATAATATCTTTATAAAGATTCCTTGGAAAGATTGATTCATATGGATCGACGTTTCTCCAAAACGTTTTTGAAGGAATCTGAAACCATCTAATGTGTGGAATTAAATCATGAATAATTTTCTTTAATTCTTCAAAATCATTTGATGTCCAGTTTGATACGTTATCAATATTCAATGGAGTCGACATTTTTGAAATACCCCACTTGAGAATATAATTCCAAATTTCAATTTCTTCCATTCCAAGATCATCATGTTTTAACAAAAGGAGGATAAGATCTTTTTCTAGCGTCACAAACCTTGGAGATTCAAAAAGAACTTTAGGACTTTCGCAAATAGTTTCTATACAAATATTTCTCAAGTTTTCATAAGCTTCATATTGAAATACGGTTTGAAGGATTTCGACGGGTTCATTTCTTAAATATTCAACTTGATTATTGATCAAATAAGGTTGAATATAATCACTCAACTTTTGAAGATTCAATTCGTCGGTTGCAACCAAAAGTTTCAACACTTGTGTCCCACTAAGATTATCAACATTAACGATTCCAGTATAAAGAAACTCTAAAATAACCTTAAAGATTTCAGGTGAAATGTTTGGTTTTTTAAAAATAATAATCCCGTTTTCCTTCTTTACCCATTCCTTTGAAAATGCGGTCTTAAAGTATGTTGACCTTGCTCCTAAAATTATTGAATGTGCAAACAATTCTTTCATATTTTGACCTTTCCCAGTATGAATAATTACGTCATAATTATATCCATCGGTAAGAAGTTGACCGAAATCCTTTGATAAATCTGATAAAAAATTTTTCGTCATCGTATGTAAAAGAATAGAATTGTAATAATATAGCATGAGAAATTTTGACGATCCGAGAAATTTATAGCCTAGGGAAAAAATCAGCCTTCAAACAGGTTAATATAAATTTGGCAGAGCTAAATATTAATTCTGGCCGAAAACTTTATTCGGCCGGAGTTAAAGTCGACGATTTTAAAAGTATTTTCGGATTTAAAGCTTTTAAAATTTCGCTCTTTAAAAAATAAGGCATAAACTTATTTTGTTCTTTCAATAAAAATAAATTTAATTGATCCTAAGTTAATATTTACTATATTTATAAATTTTCAACATAACTGCAGTGACAGTAATCATATGAGTTATTATTTTTTTACCGAGATTTAAATTATTAAAAAAGGCTCTTCAACGGTTGGCCGATATCCTTGGACCGACCAACCTATTTGACTTTTGACCGGCCGTTTAACCAATTGGTCAAATTCTTTTAGAAAATTTCAACAAAAGATCAACAAAGATTGGAATGACGATAAAAATGCAAAGGAGGGATAATTACCCTTTAAAAATCTTTCAGGACTTGAATATTTATTTGAATATAAGTATTATGAAGTAATTTAATTTTTCTTTTAAATGTTTGTATTTTGTTGTAAGTTCGGTCAAAAAAAAATTTAAAGGAAAATACATTATAGGCATGAGAGCAATGCTTATGAATTCTCCTGATGAAGGTTCATTAGATTAATCTACACTTGAATTATTGACAATGCTAAAATCATTAATTGAAAGTATGTTCATCAATCTCGCGCAAATGCAAAGAAAAATCAACTTGAATCAAAAGATAATTCGTTACCAAGCTATCAAAAAAATGATTATGTATTGATCTACTTGAATATTGTGATGTGATCACTTAATCACATGATTTTCGTTAGCATCTCAATATCTCAACACTATAATATTGTTATATTACACAATTCCTCAATTTCAAATGCAATCTCGGTCTGTGATGGATTAACTTTACGAATTTGTGAGATATATTGATCTTACTTCCGAAGAATCGGATTTAATCTTATCATTTAAAACAAAAGTTTGCGGGAGAATTATTCCACATGTAATACTGAAAAAGGAAAAAAAAAATAAAAATATATCAAATTTCTAAATAATTAATAATACCTCAATGGTTGAATATAAACTATCTTATTGATCCGAATTGATTATTTATTGAGATAATATCCTTGATAACAACGTGACACTGCACATGAAAAAAAAGAAGACCATACAAGATTAACAGAAGTTACACTAATAGAATTTTCTTTTTTATCTTAATGTCGTCCATAGATTTTTTTTTGCCGAGTGATGCGGCCAATGTCTCCAAACAAATCTTTCATCAGCGAAGGTTTTTATCACTAAAGAATATAACAAAAGGACAGATATGCTATGATTACATCAATATTTTTTAATTAAAAAATAATTGGTGACTTTCAGTAATTTAGCAGATTTCAAATTAATAATTGGGGATTTATTAAGTTTAGAGTTAATCAAATCAGTTTACTTTGGAAGTTTAATTAAATGTATAATACACACATGAACATAAGAAATTTAGAATGTAATTGGGCTTGCGTCAGTTAAAAAGGGGGAAATCGCCCTCCCAATCAATTTTGAGATTTGTGGTTTATATGATGTAAATTTACAATGTGCCTTATTTTCACTTAATTTGGTAGACCGGAAAGCATAATAAATTTTCGAGATAATATTAAAAAAACTGAAATATGCATAATGTCGATCATTTATTTGATCACTAAATTATCTTATGAGGCGATATTCATGAGCTGAGCCACACAAGTCATGAGCTTCATGACATCATAAACCCGATGACACATTTTTATTCTAGGTCGGAAGATTTACTTTTTCATCCTTTACGATACAAGATATCGGATATTATTTATGATGATGATGAAAGTTAACTATCACGAAATTAAAAAAGAATAACATATTAAAGACCTCAGAAGGATTCAAAGATATCGAATGTTAATAACTCTCAGATTCGAATATACTGAATTAACCAAGTTACCGACATATCCAAACTCCTTAACCCATCTTGACTGTTCCAATACCTTAATAACTTCTTATCAAATTTACCAAACTCGTCGGTATGTTCGGGTAGCATCAATTATACAAAGGCAAATCGGAAGGTAAGTTTCGCATGTTTTTTAAAAAACTTGACAAAAATAATAATTAAATTTATTATTACTACTTACCGTATCTCAGTTTGTCACCCTTTTTTATTCTTCTCTAGGTACAGAAGCTACAAATCGGATACAAAGGTTAGTTTACAATACTTTATTTTTTTTTTTATTTATATTCTTTATTATTTTTATTTATATTATTTTTTTTTTTTTTATTTTTTATTATTTTTTTTTGATCTTTATTATTTTTCTTTTGATCTTTATTCTTTATTATTTTTTTTTTATTTTTATTATTTTATTTTTTATTTTTATTTTTTATTTTTATTATTTTTATTTTTATTATTTTTTTTTTGGATCTTTATTATTTTTCTTTTGATCTTTGTTATTTTTCTTTTGATCTTTGTTTTTTTATTTTTTATTTTATTATTTTATTTTTATTATTTTATTTTTATTATTATTATTATTATATTTTTATTATTTATTATTTTTATTTTTATTTTTATTAGATCTTCGTCTATCCACGCCCTCAATTTCCGATTTCTTTTCTAAATAAGAATCTGAAGTCCGGAATTCCTTAATTTGTCTGATAATAATGGTCCGATTAAGGGGTAGAAAAAATTCCATCAAAAACTAAAGATTACCAAACAAAATATTAAATAGTACAATATTTTTTTCAGCTGACCGAATACTTTCCGTGGGTAGTGTTACATTTCGTCAAAATTTTGACTTGAATTTATTTTAATAACTTTAAAATCATATTTTCCAAGGGTACTGTTTCATATCACAATTTGTACCAATCGAATAGCATACGTAATAAAATTCTGAATTTATTTTTATAACTTTAAATTTTTCCGAGGTTCCGAGGGTAATGTTTACATTTCGTATCACAATTTGAACCAATCGAATGATGTGAATAATTGTATGTTTTTAACTTTCTAAATTTATTTTTATAACTTGAAAAATCAAAATTTTCCGAGGCAGTGTTATATTTCATGTAACAATTTGAACCAAACGAATTGCGTACGTAATTTAATGTATTTTGTTATAACTTTAAAATCTAATAGAAACTTTGATTCTCTAAATAATCAAACAATTTTGATAGTATTCCTTCTTTTTTTTTTTTATTGTAAAATGATTACATAATCATTGATAACGCACAAAAAAAAAAAAAAAATAGAGTCTTGAAACGAGTCGATCATTTGGCTCAATCAATCGTATTTGTTGTTCAACAATCAAACCTAATTGAAGACACAAGGAAGGTAAACAAAACAAAAAAGGTTCCGTGTATGCAGTAAATTTGATCGTTGTCGCACATACTATTCGAATTGACCGAATGCAAATTTTACACATCCATAATTTTTTGTGCAACCATACTAATAATTATCGAAGTTTTGCTTCGATTTCAATTAACATTTTTTTCCATGTAAATGTCTATGGCCGCATAGATAAAGTGATAAAGATTCCCGATAGATTTCCATCGGCAACATGATGGTGAAGTGTTAATCTTCAGTCAGATAAATCTTCTATTGAAAGTTAAAGATAAATAATAAAGCAAATTTTATGAACACGAAAATTCTGCTCAAAATATTATTGTATGACCTCTATTTTAAAGTAAATATATCGAAAATAAAACGCGTAAATTGCAAAAAAAAAATAAAATGAATATGTTATGCAAAATAAAAAATAAATGAGATGCAAACATTGATTAATTAATTCGATTGTTTCATTAACACATGCATAATCTAAATTTAAATAAATATATATATAATTTTGGATAATAACACGGAAAAAATATAAAAGTTTTATATGAAATCGTAAAAAAATTTAGCAAATCACAATAAACAATGATTAATAAACACGTACACTACATCTATTATGATTATTTAAATAACACAAGGTAATGATTGCATGTATTTGGCTTGACTAAAAAATATATAAATATCTTAATATTTCCCTCTACCAAAAAAATAACTTTATAGGTTTATATGTCAGACAATCACTCAAAATACTTGAAGATTTACTTTTTGATTATAACATGCAAACTAAGTTAAATTACGAGGATGCATCTAACATGGCAGCTGCGCAATCTAATAAAAGTTTTTCCAATGAATCTCTGTTTTTATATCAACGGGGTAGCGCTCAAAATATGGAAATGATAATTCCAAATTACTCTTTACAATTTATTTCAAATGATCAGTCACCTCTTATTTATTGGCCTTACTATTTAATTAATTCGCAGGAAGGTATTTATCAAGATCATTGTAACTACCAAAATGTGATATGCTCTTATGCAAATACGTCATCCTTTGAGTCATTAAGTGACTTTCCTAGTGGCCAACATCGTGTTCAAGGTAATTTTCAAGCTGTGAATTAGATATTTATATAAACTCACATAATTTAATTTGTCATTTCTCCTTAGTTCCAATTATGGAAGGAACAAACGCTAATATCAAACCTTTTAACGAGAAAATTACTAGAATTAAATGGACAGAAAAAGACATTAAATCGTTACTTTTGTTTTTGAAAGTACATAAAGAAGTACTAAAAAAACTAGTAGAAAAGCGTGGTGGTAGTGGTAAAATGAAAAAAGAGCTTTGGAATTGTGCCTCAACTATGGTTTTCAATAAGAAAAATTTCCTTCCCGAACAGTGTGAGTACAAATGGAAAAATATTAAGCGAGCTTGCAAGGTAAAATTATTTTCTTGATGAATAAATCGAGTATATTTCTACTCTTTATTAACTAAATTTTATAATCTAGCTTAATCCTAATTATAGGTTTAAGTCAGAAGTTAAAGAAATTCTTGAGTAAATTGCAGAATTAATTCAAAGATACTCGTATAAGATATTTTGCATATTAGTATAATGATCTTAATTTTAATTGCTAATATTCTTCGTTACTTAATGTATTTAAGAAATATTTGGTTTAAACATTATTGAGAATAATAACATATCCATTAAAATATAAGACTTCTAATTCTTTTTTTACCAAAAATATGTCATTGAAAATCGCGTGTATAATGAATGTATATTGTACTTAACAAAATATAAGCAATTGGATTTATTCCCGTCGACGTTTTAATTAATGTCTTAATGAATTCATTTTTATAAATGGAATAATTGAGAAATTTTATTATTCATTGACGTTGTCTTCATTTCTAACTTAATAAAGTTCCAAAACAATGCAAATGAAAGAAGCCTATTGAGAAATTCTTATTCGGTTTTACACAATCAAAAATATTATCATAATATCGAAAAATTTGGATTTTTACAACTCGTAGTAAAATAATGTGCTTTATCAACTTTTGGTTTAATATATAGAAAAAAAAATCAAATATTTACCCAATTTCAAACTTTTTGTTTGAAAAATAAAGGATTTGGGATCTGCCGTGACGGTATATGATAAAATTGTTTTATTTATTATTGTTTTTTTCTACTATTATGTATTATCTATTTCTATTGTTGATTATTTGATTTGAATAATAATAAATTAATTAATTAATAATTATTAATCAAATTAGAGGTTGGAACCGGTTTGGTATAATTGATTCGAAAACCGGGTTTAATAAACCCGGTTGATTGCGAAAATTCGAATTTAATGAATCCGGATTAAATATATAACTGTTAATAAAACCGTCATTATTTTGACCTGAATAATTATTTATACTATATACACTACCCTATCAAAAGTATCCGGTCAAGCTCTTTTTGATTATTTCGAGATCGGATATATTAATTAATATAAATTTTTTTTTTAAATAAATGCTCCAGTTCTGACAAATAAAATTTATGTATTTGTTTTTTGTTATGATGTATACACCAAATTTGGCAATAAAAATAAAAACAATGATCAATTTTGCGTAGTGATGATCTTTAACTTTTTTACTGCGCCTTCGAAGTATGGAAAAAATCGCGAATTAAAAGTCATTGGACTTTGAATAGGAGGAAGGACTCATGAAGCCATTAGTCGTGTCTTAAAAATTCCAAAAAGTACTATTACAGACACAATTTTTCGATACAAAAATCTCAACAATGGATTAACAGCTAAAAGAACTGGAAGACCATGTTTTATGAATAATGATGATCGTTATAACCTTTCAAAAATTGTCAAAAAAAACAATCGACTTTCTCTTGAAGAAATTCAACAAAAATTTAATAGTTCACAAGATAAAAAAATTTCAGCTGTAACCATTCGTAAAAACCTTCATCAAATAGGGATTAATTCACGGGTTTCTGTGCCAAAACCACTTCTTACTGAAGCCCAATGCGAAAAACAATTGTCATGATGTATGGAACGACAAGATTGGTCAGTTAGACAGTGGAAAACTGTCATTTGGAGTGATGAGTCCAGATTTACCTTTTTTCAAAATGATGGTCCTATTCATGTTTGGAATCCGATATAATATTGAGAATTTAATACTAATGGTTAAACATGGTGGTGGAGGTGTTATGGTATGGGGATGTTTTTCAGAAAAAGGATTGGGTCTATTGGTAAAAGTAGATGGTAAAATAAATAGATTTGGTTACATTGATATTTTAGAAAAAATTTATTATCATTCATCCATTCTAAACATCGTAAATTGCCTTATGCATTTCAGGATGATAATGCTCCTGTTCACACTGCAAGGAATGTCAAAAATTGGATTATAAAGAAAAAGATTAAGATTCTTCCAGATTGGCCTTCTCAATCTCCAGACCTTAATCCT